TTGGGCGGGGTTTTAACGTGGCGGGACCCAAACCCAGCGCACGCGAAGTTTTACGCCTTCTCACTTTAGCTCGCTCCCAAACGGGTGTTTGGTTGCTACCCAGAGGATACGTGGATATAAATATCCGGACGTTGTGAGCTGCGATTTGAACCGTACGCACAAGAATCGCTTCTGGCCACTCCCAGGTGAATGGCAGTCAAAAGTGTTCCACTTCTGCGCACGGAACCATCCTCCACCGATTACATTATCAAAAATTAATGTCGAAACAATTAGGCCCTCTTTATATATTACCAAATTTTTATTTTCATGCAGAAATGCATCTATGTGCTCGAGAACCATTTCCGGAACAAACATTTTTTTTTTTTTTAAATATATCGCATACTTTTTTTTGACGCTCTACCGTCGCTCGCTGTATTCGAATTCTCAAGATGGAAAAAAATCAATGTTCAATTTTTACTTTTAAGTACACAAATATTTTTCCCTCCGAATCCATACAATTATTTACGTAGAAAATTTGTTGAGAAATACAAGCGCAAATACTATTTTTGTGATAATTAAACGGTTTTCTGCCACAGAACGACTATCATATATTTGTGCAAGCGGACTAAAAGCTTACAAAATCATACGCCAGTATTGGTTTCATTGCACTCAAATGTTAAGGAATCAAAAATAGTATTTGCACCGCAAGTACAAAGTTTTGACCACAAAATTTTTATGTCTTCGAAAAAACCTGCGAGAATTTCTTTCCGAGAATATCTCCCCTATGTTTTTATAAGGAACATTTTTTCTGAATGCTTCCTAGAGCGTCATACCTTATTTAGCATTGGTACTCTTTGGAAATCTATTAAAAAAAAAAAACTTAAAGGTATAGTAGAGAAAGGATGATGATGGACTGGTCGACAAAGAACAAAGCTTTTTAATATTTTTTTGTCGCAGTGCAAAGACACGCTGTAATTCTTAACACTTGTGGCTAAATAAAATGTAATTCAGTCGTGATTGACTGTCACTTTATTCGGCGAAAATGGTAAGCTAGATGTACGCTTTTATAAATATATTTTGATTATTACTAAGCTGCAAAAATTCTCTTGGACAGTCATTTTAATAAACTGCTATCAAAATGTTCCATATTCTACTTTATTTGAAAAAAAATAAAAAAATAAATAAAAAATACGCTTACAAAATTTCCAACCTCTTGAAGGAATGCCTCAACAAATCTAAACATTTTGGATGCGTTTTCATCACACAGAGTGAATTTTATTTTATTTCTATTTTATTTTAGCCAAATCGTTTGTGTTCGTCAGGTTACTAGTTTCAAGAACTGCATATCATCCTTGTAACGGGATATGAGTAACAATTCATCTCACTAATATCCCATTGAATTCATATGCGCTCCCCATTCCACTGTTGCTTGAAACACTGTGAGAAACTTTCCGCTTTGTAGCTACCAGCGCCATCTGAGGTTTAGAAAAATTATAGCTTAAGTTTTAAAAATAAATACACACTTACATTGTTATATCCCTATAGACTTGCTTTGATAATAAACAGCTTTATTAAATGCTCTATATCGCATCTATTTGCTACATTTATTCCTGACATACTTTTTATTTGTAAGTTACCACGGATTTCTAAGACCTCTTCCCCTTATCTAATAAAAAGTTGTTGAGACTTAATGGCTAGTGCTTAAGATAGTAAATTTGTCGAATCTATTTCTTAAAACCAATAACTATTCTTGCAGGTTTTCAATGAGTAAAATTGCTCTGATAAATATTCCGAAATGCCTATTATTTCTTTATCAACAAAGTTCAAATTACTGTTCTGGCCTAATACCAATATATGGATGTAGGTTGATACCAAAAATGCGAAGATATGTTGAGTGATTTCATTTCTGAAATAGTAGATTAATATCATAAAATTTTTTTTAACAGTACCGATTAGAAATATAAGACTAAACAAAAATACAAATGTCATGGTATGTAGCACTCGAGTGAAATGTAACATTTTTATAGAACTCTAACTTTGGAAAAGCGAAAAAAAACTAAAATCAAAATTACAACGTACAAAAAGTAAAAAAACAAAAAACCGCTAACAATGTTATGAACCAACGTAGTGAGAACAGATTCAAATTCTAGAGAAAGTGACTCAGAAATTGCAGGCGAAACTAGGATAGTAAACAAGTACAGTAGTAGTCTACATAAATAAAACGGAGTTGTTTACATATGTACATAACGAAATAGCTACAAAACGAAGTCAAGTGCATTTTTTCGTATAATAATTAAACTGCCTACTAAGTAGGCTAAAAGTCTAGTAACAACGATAAATAAAAAAAAATTTGAAAAACTGCAAATCCAGAAAAAAGTAATGCGACTCAAAATATAAAAAGTAATCATTAAAAAACCAAATCATCCGAGAAACTTTCAGTAGAATTTTAATAGATTCGCTATTAAAAACGCAGCGTCAAAATAATAAAAGTAGTGTACAAAATTTAAACGACAACTAAAAAAAAACACCATGGTGCACTTAAAAAGCAAACTACAACAAATAAGTAACAATAACAAGATTCAAAGCTTACAAATGTAAAATCATCTTATCCAATAACAACTTAATAAATCACTAAAAATTCGAATAAACACCGCCAGCTTTTGTATCATATCAAGAATATGGATTCTTTGGAGCGCCTATTGCGCGCAGCTCCTCTGCCGCGCACGCTGACAAGCGTGAATGGTGCTGTCGCTAAGGGTCAACAACGCGCCTTGGTGCACGCCTCTTTGGCAGCAGCCACAGTCGGTCGTAAGGGACGTCATTTAACTGGCACTTTTTGCCTTACCGGCGACACCATGGAGGGTATAATACAGTGTTTGGTCTTCTTAAAAGCATTTTCGGTGAGTAAAAAAAAAGTATTGTTATAAAAGTGGAGAAAAGAAAAATTAAAATATTTAAAAAACAAATCAAGTATTTGAACAATTTTAGCCTTAAATCTTTATTTTGGCGAAAAGGAACCGAAATTACAGTTTTCTTTTATTTTCACTCGAAAAAATCGTAATTGTTTTTTTTTTTTAATTTTGGAAAGTTCTCAAATGGAATGCTGATATTTGAGCTAATGGAAGTTGGCATCAGATACAACATATCTGTGAAGTTTCAACAGTGTGCCACCAGATTAAAACAAGATGGCAGCATACAGGATATTTGTCGCAGCTATTTTGTAATTTTTGAAATTTAACGTCTTTTTTTATTTTATAAGTTCAAATACAATGACAAGACTAGTGAGCCACCAAATGAAAAAATTACGTTGATTATATGATGACGATGATTTGCGAAACAAAAAGCATGGAATAAGATAAGTGTGCCACCATTTTGAATCAGAACAGGCTTTTGCAGAAAAATGTAAAAACTCGTGAGATTTACATCACATATATTTGTCCTTATCGTATAACTTAAAAAAAAAAAAGAATTTTAATTCATATATTCAAGGACAAAAATTTAAAATGACATTTTCAATACCTAAAAAAAGTAAATCTTTCAGAATTATACTGAATTTTACTTTAAATTTGATACCCATATTTTTATTCTAACTTGCACTGAATGTTTTAAATCATTTTTTGAATAAAGCATATTTTTGAAATTTCAAAGAGCTTTTGAAAAAACTCTGACGTGAGACACAAAAGCAGAAAACGTACTTTTAATTTGGACCATAGTTTCGCTAGTACATATACTAACTTTTCACAATTATCTGAGACAAGCAGCTTGGCTCGTAAAAGTTTTAAAATAGGACAAACCGCAAATCCGGGATCGCTCAAGAGGTATGATGGTTCCTTTAAGGAAGCATGGCCTGAGGCTTTTTCTATACTTCTGGGGACTCAATTACTCTGGAAATCAGGTAATGTTTTCACCTTCCCCTCCCTCACAGGGGATGAATTGATTGTGAGAACCTCTGCTGCTTGAACAGTGGCAACTGAAGATAGCATTCGATATGCGATTTTAACACTTGACAGCTTCAAATAAGTCCTTGGTCGGCCTGTTTCTCCCTACTCTAAAAGGAGTCAATATTCGGTTTTATACTGAAGTGAGTATTAAGTTACAATATTAGATAGTAAGCTTTTATGGGTGTGGGAGTAGAACGTTGAAAGAAAGACCTTTGAAGGCTTTATGGCGATCCGGAAATGTATTTATAAATTAAAATAGTGGAGCGGACTTTCAATCAACCGCGTGGGAAATCTAACCAAACTTCAGAGAACGATCGCTACACTGAGGGAAACAATGCATAGTAAAAATTAATACTTTATATTTGATTATCTTATAAAAATATTCGTATTTAAAAATAATATTTTCATACAAAATTTATTACGCACGTATTTGACTGTTCACATCTGAGTATGTATATGTAAGTGTACATATGCACCCCAAGCGGTCCGAGATCGGCGAAACCTTTGTATTCTCTCAATCGTGCTTACATAGTACAAATCGCGTGCTGTGGTGTTGATGGATATTGAACATTTGAAAGCAAATTTATATGCCTGGGTGTAGCTGAGTGCGCAAAGATGCTTGCCAAAAGTTGTTGATATCCGGAGATGGTCGGGTTCGAATACATGATTGCGCCGATCGGAGAGGATTTTTGAGAATAACTTGTGTGTGACGTCACACTGGTGCAATTGCGAGAGAGAAATGCCAAAACGTGAGCAAGAATGGAAGAAGAAGAAAAAATGTTGCAAGGAAAACGTAAACAAGTTGCACCAGTGTGACGTCATGCAAACAACGATTCTGTCAAATTCGTTAAGAGAGGAATAGCGGTCCGAGATCGGCGCAACCTTTGTATTCTCTCAATCGTGCATACATAGTACAAATCGCGTGCTGTGGTGTTGATGGATATTGAACATTTGAAAGCAAATTTATATGCCTGGGTGTAGCTGAGTGCGCAAAGATGCTTGCCAAAAGTTGTTGATATCCGGAGATTGTCGGGTTCGAATTCCACTGCATGCAACATGCAAATAAATTTTTTTTTTAGTTTTTGTCTTGATTATTCACTTCGTGGATGCTTTTTCAGCATGAACGCGGTCATTTTAATATGCGCGTAATTGAATTGAATAGTTACCAATATACAGTACTTTCGTTGACGTTTATAGTAAGATCAATTACGTTTCTATTTGATTTTAATATTTTGTTCCCTCAGTGTAGAGCATCCGCCTGGAGGCAGATATGTAGAAAGTTCATTGCCACATGACGCCTACAATTACAACACGATCTGGAGTCTATACGGATACAAGTAATTTTTAGCAAAAAAAAACCGACTTAAAAAAAATATATATATGATCGGATCTAAACCAAATTAGTATGGGACCACCTCTGAGACACTACCTTTCCCTTGCAAAAAGGATTATTGAAATCGGTTGACGTGGTGCAAAGTTATGCGGTAACATACATAAAAAAAAAAAAAAAAAGATTCCGACGAACTGATAACCTCCTCCTTTTTTGGAAGTCGGTTAATAACGGAGAAAATTTGCACTTATTTCTTTCTAAAGGGGGAATGAAGGCTAAGAGATTGGAGTCGGTAGTGAAAGCTAAGCTGCACTCAAGGCTTGCCCGGTCCTCTAGCTACCGCTTACACATTAGTTCGGCAGTGAAAATCTTGACTAAACTATGTTGGAAAAAAAACTGTTTTAAGCGTCAGGTCACACTGTAAGGACTCAGACCAGGTACTTTTTGGTATGTACGGACAACGTGTGGGTTCGCTGACTCGTCCCTTTTCGTGGCACGAAACACCTGCCAGTGATTGTGTTGAGTAGAATTAAAAAAAAAATAAGTATGAGGATTTTGGAAGCGACTAGCTAAGAGGCAAACAGCCTGTTCCTTGACACTTAACAACATGAATGAGTACAGTATTTCAGGGTATTATTCCATAGTTATGCGAAGTTTCGATAAATATACGAACAGAGCTATAATCTCTTGCCTTTCTTTGTAAAGAATCCTTTCAAATTCCTTTTGCTCTCTTATACACTTGCTTCTTTTGAAAGCAAGATTAAACATTTATTTATTATTTTTATTTTTTATTTTTGTACACACATTTTTTGAATCATTCAAGCATGCCGGCCTTTATTTGTTTATTGGCTGCTTGTAACGAGAAAAACAAATTTTTGATGTTTGTAAAACCAAATCATGCATACTTTTAGGGTCATCCTGTGTGTATTGCTACAAAAACGATATCTGTCAATGAATGATGATGCTTGTAAACGCATGATGCCGTATAAGCGTGTTTATACTTAAGTACTTTGTTTGGTAGATAAAAAGGGTGAAATTATTTTTAAATATTTCAATCCCTAACCTTTTACATGTCGATAGATTTCTCTTTAGCGACTAATCAAAAGTACTTAAACATTTAACTTATGTCTATACGCCTAACTGATATATATTTTTCTTGTTTTTTTTTCGTTACAGGTGAGTTGTGATGTTATGTTTTACTGGTTTACTACTCGTCTTACTAAATGAATATAAATATATTTGAGAGCGCGCCTGGGAAAACACGAAAGTTTTTAAGCAGCAGTTGTCATGGTTGTACATATATTTTGAGCCAATTTTTGGTGCCGTGAGTGTGTGGGGAAATTAAATTTATATAATTCATGATACAAAAAAGAAGGTAGTTTCAATAAACAACTTTTGACGGATAATAAAATTTTTTGAAGTTTCATAAATTGTGAGTATTATCAACGGCCTTGCCACTTTGATAATATTAAAACAATAAATCGGAGTATTTTCTTTCCCATATTTATACCAATGTAATAACATTTCAAATCAAAAACCATTATTAGTGCTTGGTACTTTTTTTTACTTACGTGTTTTTTTTTATTAAAAATATTTAAAATGTAAACTGTTAAAGGAGACTTCATTGTTACTATTCTTTTCATTTTGTAATAAAAACCAAGCGCGCATTATTCTGTTATTTTTTTGTTTTCTTTTTTTGAATGCAATCTTGCGATTTAAAAGTCGAATTCTAAATAATGTTCTTCCCAAATAAAACCTTTTTATATTTTAGTTCAAATTTACTTTTACATTTCTCATCAGATTTTGCAAAAAATTAGGCTTTGTGATTAGCGCATCATCATTAAATTTCACAAATTCTTAATTTATGCAAAATACCTGAAGTCGGCTTGAAGAGATCGCCCTCCGATAAACAACTAACAGATCCTCGTTTAAAGTACAAAACCGTGTATCGACAAAATGCACAACTGTCACATACGCAGTTGCACTAATTGTTTGTAGAGAGCAAAAACACTCATATTTCAAAAGGTTCTCTTTTTTACAAAGAAATCGCATTTCAGGACGAATGGATAAGGCTTGAGCCAAGAGCTTGTGCGAGCAAATCCCATTTTTGGCAAAAAATGTCAATTACGCGGTTTTGCAGAACGACGATACGCGGTTTTGTACTTTAAGCGACGATATGTAAGCATACACTTTCGTCATGCTTTCTGAACCTAGTCGTCAACCCCATTTTCGAAATCATGTAGCCGGCATAATTTTCTAGTTTATCATATTCCACATCGTTGAATGTACTGATAAAATCTTCTGGTTAAAAAAAAATATTTCTTCTAGTGATCAGGTAGCATGAATTTGATGAAATGTCATAATTTTATTAAAAGTCAAATGGTTAACAACAACAACGAATGTCATTAAATGAAAGTACCTTCTTTTTTGTATCATGATATAATTCAAGTTTTGAAATTAAAATTTTTTGTTCGCACTTTTTGTTTATTTTCATTTGCTACAAAAATATGAAACGTGACATTACAAGTTTTAGTTTTTATACAAACTCATACTGAACGAAAAAAAAAGAATTTATAAAAATGCATACGCAGCTTTTAGTCATAAAATAATTTTGGTAAGCTTTGTTGGTTAACTTTTTGCACAAAAATCGTGGAACCGTGGAAAAAAGCACTAATCTACCGAATGCATCTGGCGCTGAAGTGTCAAGACCCACCGTGCGGCCGTCTATTCCATCTGAAGTCATCGAGTTCGCCGGCATGCGTTTTCTCATCACCGACACTCCAAATAAGTTTACCATTAAGCCATTCATTGAGAACCTGCTGCGCCACAATGTGAAGTTATTGGTTGGCTTATGTGACGTTAGCTATGATACAGGTCCGTTTGTGGCAGCCAATATTGAGGTATTGAGTTTGCAATTTCCGGAGAGAACTTTACCAGATGAACGTCTCAAGCGGCATTGGTTTCGTATTTTACTGCGTCAGCAAAGCGAATATCCCGACAGTTGTGTGGCAGTACATTGCAATAGCGGATTGGGCCGTGCTGCGCTGCTTGTGGCAATGGCACTTATCGAACTGGGCATGGGCTATGACATTGCTGTGGCCGTTATACGTAGCAAACGACGTGGCGCCATAAATGATGCACAATTTGAATATCTAAAAAATTATAAGCCGCAAACGAGGAACGGACTAACGCAGATGAGGCAGCGAAAAGCTAGCAACCACTGTGTGGTGCAGTAGTTAGGAAGATGACAAAGACAGGCCAACAAATGCTTACAATTTGAACTTGAAAAGTAAAGAAGAAATTTGAAGTTTGAAATTTTTCATAAAAATGAGTGAAGAGAATTTTAAATCATACATTAGTGATTATGTTATTTTGGAGTTAAATTTTTTTAAATCATGTTGAATTGTTTTTCCCTTCGAAATAAAAAAAAAATATACTCTTACTGCTCTGTTTCGCATATTTGTTATTGTTGCACTTACATACATTTACACCACTTAACGACTTTCGCTTTCATACGCGCAATTTCGTTGCGTACATACTTATTTCTGTTTCTCAGCATTATTCGCTTCGCGCTAAACACTTTCCCCACACTGCTTTAACGAAATAAACTTTTAAAATATTCCACAACAACGTGTAAACATATTGTTCGAGATTTTAAAAGCAGCATATTTAATGGCTTTACAGTTCCACTCAGACTGAGTTCTTTTCACGAAGCTGTTGCCCTACTCCAGTTTCGACGCAAGCAACAAAAAAAAAAAAAAAAAAAAAAAAAACCNCTGCATGAAAAAGAAATCTAAAAGGTAGCATGTCTACTTTTAAGCGCCAACGGGCCTCCAAATTAAAAGTTTGCAACTGAGTAAAAATCAAGTGAAAGTGTGCTTAGCGGGGAGCGAAAATATTTGTGCTAAATATTTGTTGCTTTTATATTCTTGGCTAAATTGTTATTTTGCGTCTTGTTTTTGGTTTTCTTTTTTTTTCTTTTGTAAATTAAAATGTTTTAGCTTAAAAAGTTACAGTCGTATTTTACATACATAAATAACCGGCAGAAAACAAACAATTGCGACAGCTTGCATTAGAGT